GGCGACTCACGGCAGCCCAGCCCCAGGCCGAGCTGTTGTTCAGCATCTTAGCTGAAGAGGGCAGCGTCACTGGCCCTCACATGTGGGATCCGAACTGGGGCCCTCTGGCGTCCCAAGCCAGCTCTTAACCATCGCGCCACTCGGCTGGCCCCCAAGCCAACACTTAACCAACGTGCCACTCAGCTGGCCGATGGCTAAGCTTCTTGAAAGAGTAGTTCATCCTCTCTTCCCGTATTACCTAATCTCCTATTCACTTATTTTTTATGTACACCTCTTTTTTTTTTAAATGTCTTAGTAGGGTTTTTTGAGGAAGTGAATATAGATGCATCTCTGCTATTTTTTGTCTGCTATTTTTAATGAGCATCTCCAGAATTTTTTACAAATAAAAATATTTAAAAAAAGTATTGTCTGCCTCTACCTCTCCCCGTCTCCCCAGGCAAAATATAAGCTTCATGTGGCAGAAACCCTGTGTGTTTTGCACCACGTTAAGCTCTGTGTGCATGGTCCAGAGTAACTGCTCATTAAACATTCATTGACTTGAATCGCCAAACAGTGATCATGCTGTTAATATTTGTTCAGAGTTAAACAAAAAAAGTCAGGAAATAAATTACGTTAAGTAATGGGGAATTTATTGTAAGAATGCAGAAGAGGAGTAGAAGACAAATCTTCCAGGAATCTTGTCACACAAGTTGTAGTACAGCTGGGCCACAGATATCAGGAACTTGGTCAGCTCTGGGGACTGGTTATTCTGTTTCTGGTGGATTCTGTTCACTCCTAGATCCATTGACCACCTGTCCATTCCATGTAACCGAAACTTATCTCTCAAGTTTTCAATGATTTTCCAGTTGGTGTATTCAGGGTACACCTTTTGGTCAATATCTTGGCTTCTCTGTACTATTTAGCACTGCTAAGTGTTCCTGCTCTAAACTCTTTCTTGCTTGGTTTCTGGGGTATGGAATGGATTTTCTTTTAACCTCTATGGCTGTGCCTATCAGTTCCCTTTATGGGTTTTTCTTTTTCAGTGTGTCTCTGAAAGTTTAGTGTTTTGTTGGGCTTTGCCTTTGACTTTCTTTTTCGTACATGCTTTCGCTGAGCATCTATTTCCATAGGTTCAGCTTCCACCTATATACTTAAAACTCCTAAATTTTTCTCTCCCTATCACTGTCCTAAGCTCTTGACTTACATATCCCACTGCCTTCTGAGTCTTATAAATATCTCACAGGCAGGTAAACTCTTAAGAATCTCTCTTAGACACATTTAAGAGTCCCAAACTACACACCATAAGTCTGCTTTTACTTCTTCCTTTTCTTTACCTCCCATACATCTATAATAATAATATCTTAGATTCCTAATGTCTACTGTGGTTAAAGTCTACACATGTACTATCAGAAATTGTCACAGCAGCCTTAGAAATAGTTGTCATCCCCATTTAAAAATGCTTGGAATATGCATTTACCGTAAAGATATATTTTTGAATGAATGGCTGAGGAAACAGTGTCAGAAAAGTTAAGGAACTTAACCAGCTCACGACAGCTAATCAGGGGCTGAGCGGATTGTAGAATCAGCTTGATCTGGGTTTACATTCTACATGTACCACTTACTAGCAGAGTGACTTTGGCGATGTTATTAAAATTGAAATAATCACATTTCCCTCAAAGATTTATTGTAAATATTCAATACTTAATATGCAAAGTTCATGGTGCAGTGTCTGGCACATTGCAGGTACTCTATCGATGGGTAGCACTATTGTTTTCTTATGATCGAATCTGCGTTGCAGGTATACAATCTTTTTTTTTTTGATTGGGAAATTGGGGGAGGGGGAACAGCCAAGTAGTTTTTCTTCAATCTTAGTTGTGGAGGGCACCCGTCACCATCTGGCTGCCTGTCGGCAGTTCGTGGCCTCTAAGGTCAAGGTGCTGTGTTACAATCTTAGTTGTGGGTGGGCCTAGCCACCATCCCATGTGGGAGTTGAGCCAGCAGCCTTGTTAAGAGCACATGCTCTATCCACTGAGCCATCCGGGTGGCAGCTCAGCTAAAGGTGCCAAGTTCAGTCTTAGTTGTGGGCGGGCATAGCCCACCATCCCATGTGGGAGTGGAACTGGCAGCCTTGTTGTTAAGAGCACATGCTCTATCCACTGAGCCATCCGGGTGGCAGCTCAGCTCAAGGTGCTGAGTTCAGTCTTAGTTGTGGGCGGGCATAGCCCACCATCAAACAGGCAGCCTTATTGGTAGGAGCATGTGCTCTCGCCAGCTGAGCCATCCTGCCACCTGTTGGCAGCTCAACAGTAGCTCAGCTTGGCCACAGTGTCACTGGCCCATGTGGGAATTGAACAAGCGGTTCTATTGCTCAGAGCTTGCACTCTTAAGCCAACTCTTAACCAATTGAGCCACTCGGCCGGCCCAATACAATCTTATTTCATCTTTTTTTCCCTATTCATTCATATCTTCCTTAACATTGAAACATTTTCTCCTTATTCATATATTTACCCATTTTGAAATGGCTAAATTTTATTTCACTTTTAGAGACTTTCTGATACATACTCTGACTTCAGATTTCTTCTAAGTTTTAAAAATCTTATATTACAGCATATTTTTAAAAAGGCTCTTTTGCACTTATTCAGTAGTCAATAATCTTATTGTCTTAATTTTTAGTGTATTTTGTGCCATCACATTATTGATGTCTAATTTAGGTTTATATATTAAATATTTTATAAACTTTTATAAAAACTATCACTTTTTAGGTTTTAAAACCGTTTTTGTTACGTCGCATAAAAACTGATGTAGAGAAGAGCCTGCCTCCTAAAAAGGAAATAAAGATTTACTTGGGACTGAGTAAAATGCAGCGAGAATGGTGAGCTATTTTTTTCCATTAGAATTTATTTTTGTATAAGGATTTATTAAAAATTAGCTTTGTAATGGTTCAGTTATGCCTTTAGTTCAGAAATTACATTTTATGTTTAAATGGCAAGTTAAGTAGTTCAGATATTTCAGTAGAAAATTTATTTTATTTAACCTTTGGGACAGAGCACCAGCGTTAGAGTCTATAGACCTGTTGGAATGCGTGCTTTGCCTCTTAACAGCTATTAGCTTGGGAAAGTTATGTAACCTCAGTTGCCCTTCTATAAAATGGGGATAATAATACTCAGCTTATGAGGATGATGTCAAGGTTAAAGGGGGAAAATGCCACTGGCACATTTGCTAATTTTTTCATCAGTGAAAATAGTAATAACCATAATAATGAGTAATAAGGTGGTTGAAAATATCAGTGATTGTGGATATTACAAAAATAGAAGCGGGAATGGTTTGATAAATATAAGCAAAGCGGGAAAGTGACAAGAGGAGTCACAAGGAATCATACATTAGATATATTAATAATAATGCTGTTAAGAAAAGCAAAATGTTGCTTATATAAATAAAATTAGATCACTTATAATTTATAATGTGACTATATGTGGTGAAGAGTGTATTTTTCTGGACTCAGACATAAGATCATACCCTGTATTTGTCCCTTTCTGTGGCCCTGAGTAAGTTGTTTCACTTCCCTTAGCTGCCTGATTTTCCCTCTGTATAATGGGGGTGATACTAGTATACATCTCAAAGTTTTTGTGAAAATTTAGCAAGATGATTCATGTAAAGCCCTTGATATGACACCTGGCACTTAGACTCAGTACAGGTTGGCTCTTATTATAATTAAATATTGTTACTGTTCAGGTGGATATGTAGGTATATTTTTATCTGGATGAAGGTCTAGAAAAGATAATGAAAAGTGTTTATAGGATCAGAAAAAAAATGACCTATGAAGACAGGTATAGAAAAATTGGGATTGTTTTTAGCTCAAACAAGTAAAGGTTGGATGCCAACTTTCAGCAAACATTGTAGTTATTGAATAATTATCAGATATAATTATCTGAATAGTTATCAGCTGATGGCAATTTCTAGTAATGGATAAAAATAGTAGGAAATAGGTTTATAGGCAACATACAAGATAAAATGTTCAAAACTTCTCTAGTTTCTTGGTATTGCTGATCAGATTTACTCTCTAATCAAATCTTGTTTATCATTAAATAAGAATCTAAGCTGATCTCCAAAGGGACATTTATGGTGGCATTAAACTTTTCTAATAATCGATGATTAATTATAGTTTAATAAACTTCAGGTATACAAAAATCCTGATGAAAGATATCGATGTTTTAAATTCTGCTGGCAAGATGGACAAGATGCGACTCTTAAACATTCTGATGCAGCTTCGAAAGTGTTGTAATCATCCTTACTTGTTTGATGGTGCTGAACCTGGTCCACCTTATACCACTGATGAGCACATTGTCAGCAACAGTGGTAAAATGGTAGTTCTTGATAAACTGTTGGCCAAACTCAAAGAACAGGGTGAGTTAAAAATCTTCCAATAAACATGAAATAACTTAACATTAATTACTTGTATATGAATAACATTTTGCATAATCACTCACTCATTCATTCATTCAGCAAACATTGTTGAGTACTTACTATTTGCCAGGAGTTGTTCTTCAGGATGGGTATACTAAGATACATAAGACAACAGTTTTTGCCTTCGAGAAGCCCACAGTGTAGTGAGGAGGAGTAGTTGCAGTTCATTGTGATAAGTGCTATGAAATGTTGAGAAAATGGGAGTTGGGGAAGTAGTCACAGAGATGATATTTGAGGTGAGCACTGGAGAATGTGTGGGAGTAAACCATGGGAAACGGGAGGGGAAAGATTTTCCAGGGCAATGAAATAGGTGTTGAAGGAAGGGAATGCGGAACTTATGGTATTTTTGGGTAGAGTGGTTGTGATGAATCTGGAAAGAAGGATGGGGCCAAATTACAAAAGGCCTTTTAAACCATGCATTAATGAGGTTGGGCTATTTTAAAGGTGGGGCAGGGTGGGGGTGGCAGGCCATTGAAGACTTGGGGGTGGAAAGTGACACCATATTTGTATGTTAGGAAGAGAACCTTGGAAGCAGTATGGGGAAATCTACTAAGCATGATGGACTAGAAACAGTAGACTAGTTGGGAGACTATTGCAGTAACCCAGTGAAAGATTGTATGGACCCATTGCTCATCCTCAGGACAGAGTAAAAGCAGATTTTAAATCATCTCAATATGTGTGGAGGATTTTGAAGGCCTTAAAAATGCATAACTCAACAAATGCATAATTATTTATAGTACCTATTGAAAGTATATATGTTTAGTGGAGTGTTCATGTCCTGTATATTTATATTGCATATGATCTTTTAATTTTTGTAACTTCCAAGTTAGTTTTACACAAGTTGAATGACTTTTTTTGTGTGTGTGTGTTTGTGTGTGTGTGTGTGTGAAATGTTTTAGGTTCAAGGGTTCTCATTTTTAGCCAGATGACTCGCTTGCTGGACATTTTGGAGGATTATTGTATGTGGCGTGGTTATGAGTATTGTCGACTGGATGGACAAACCCCACATGAAGAAAGGGAGGTAAGGAAGACAAAAGAAAGTAAGACTTCAAAAATCAGAGTTCAATTAAGCCATGTTTTCATCATTAGGTAGTTTTGAACTTTTGCCTTTTCTTTAGCTAGGTGCATTGAATTTCTCACTACCACTTCTCAGATCTTCAGTCTGGCTTCCATTACACTGACTCTTTACCAATCATTCTGTCAAAGGTTTTCAAAGACATTCTCACTTATCTAAAGGATAATGATACACCATTACATCCTTAACTCTTCTAACCACTGCTATCTCAGACATTTTTATCACCGTTTCTCAGCTTACTCTTTGACCTCTGATTTTATGTCATTTTCTTTTCTTGATTTGTCTCCTACAGTAGGCTCTCACTGTTCGTGGAGTTTAACAGTTGAGATTTTTCCAGTTTATAAGCAAACCTAAAGAATCATGAAACGTAGTAAATTGTAATGGGAGTAATCTCAGTCTTATAGAGACTTTGTAAAACTGGAATGGGACAACATAGGTATAGGTGCCGATCATGCATTTGGATCTTGGAATACTATAAGTGTGGTGTGTAGAAATGAGTTACTTAGCTAGTGAGGAAGCTTACCTAGTACCTGTCTCAGATTTGGAAATTCTTATCGATCTTTAGATTATTCCTCATGAATATCATGGGTCTAATGTATTTTAAACCCTTGAAAGCACATTTTTGGGGAGGACTTTGCTAATTTATCTTCTCTTTTCTGTAATCCTTCAGGACTCTGTCTTTGGCCTCTGTTTTAAGTCTGTACTCATGCTCTGGGCAAAGATCGTGATTTCATGGTATAGTGGAAAATGCATTGAACTTGGTTTCAGAAGACCTGAATTTTAGCACCAACTTCACCACTTTGTAGTGTATGCAAGCCATTTAATTCTCTGAGCCTCAGTATCTTTAACTGTATTATAAGGGAAATACTAATACCTGGGCTTCTTTTTTTCTGACAACGTGAGGACCATTGGATATAATAGGTATGAATGCAGTTTTGAAACTGTATAATGCCGTATATACCATATGTCATGAAATTGCACACCGGCCTTTTTACCTCTCAGCTTTAGGGCCCCTTTTCAGGCCACAAAGACCCTCAGCCCATGGGCCTCTCCTTCCATAGCTGCAGTGGGCCCTCTGTCCCTTGTGCACCCTCTTATTGAAGCCTGGCTAGAGCATATGATAGTGTCCACAGCAGGCACACAGGCCCTTTTCATATTAAGGATTTACCTGCTACCCACTCCGGGGAAACACTTGTGTTAACATTTATAAATGTGGAACATTTCAAAGCTCACACTGTTCCCTGCTGTATAGTATTTTACTCTTTCCGAAATGGTAACTTGAAGCTTTACTGAGCTTTTGCTAATTTACTCCTGAGGATAGGTTTCTCTAAATCCTTTTAAGCATAGGCCATAGTACTATTCGTGATGACCCTTCTTCCTGGAATGAAGATGATACTAAGGAAGAAGGGTAGGTGACGTCTGACCTCAAACAGCCAATTTGCATTTCTGACTGATCTCTGCTCATGAACAATGTGTACATTACCTAATTATGCCCAAATTCTTCTGGTTTCTTAACATTTCAAATAATGTTCTCCAGAGAGTTTAAATTCCATGTATTGACTTTAGATATAGCAAAGTCAGAGCTGTTCATTATTTTTTTTCGAAATGCCCTGCTTTTCCATTATGTTGTTGCCCACACAGTCATTTCATCATTGCCAATAAGAAAGGGAAGACCATATTTGATTCCTTACTTGAGTCCCTTACCAGCTGTTAATACACAGTTCTTTCTCAATAGTTCTCAAATTTGCCCTTTTTCCATTGCTACAGCTAAATTCAGCTGTCTTTGGTCATCCTCTGACTCAGTTCCTGTAGCTTTCACTTAATTGGTGGCCTCACTTTTATAGGGAAAGGGACTAACATTTGTCAAGCAACTACTATAAGCTAGGTGACTTACAGTTTCAATTGAACTCTTCCAGCAGCCCAGTAAAGTATTGGTAGAATTTTCTCTACTTGAAACTGTGTCTCAGAGAGGTTAAATGCTTGCTCAGAACCACGTATGTAATAAATGGTAAAGTTATGACTCATACCCAGGTTTTTGCTATTTCCTCTACACCAAATTGCCTCTCACTACACCATGCTGCTTTCTATACTGCCCTTTCTACATGCTATACTGACTGCGGCAGTGGGAGTCACCTTTTCTGCCTGCAACTTTTGACCATGCCATTCCATTCATTAAAAATATTTTTGTGATTGTAAAAGTAGTATTTCATTACCGAAGGAAATTTGAAAAATAAAGAAAGGTAGTTCTGGCCAATTTTTATGTATGTATAATATATATATATATATATATAAGTAATTATTATACTGTACACACTATATATAAAGTTCAGTAACTGATAACTTTTTACTCAATGTTATATTGTACTTTCCTATATTAAAAAATCATTGTAAAATAATTTCAGTGTAATATTTCATTTCATGGATGTAATATAAATAATTTATCCCCCTATTGTTGATCATTTAGGTTGTTTCCAATTTTTCACTATTATAAATAATGCTATAGTTAAAGTCCTTATACATAAATCTTTGTGCACATCTCTGATTATTTCCTTAGGATAAATTCCTAGAAGTGGAATTACTGGGTCAAAGGGTATGAACGTTTTTAAGACTCTTGATGCATATTGCCAAATTGCTTTCCAGAAAGGTTGTACCAATTTACACTCCCAGCAGCAATGTATGAGAGTGCCCGTCTCACCGCCCCCTCGTCAACATTGAGTATTATCATTTTTTTAATCTTCAATAAATGGTATTATGTTGTTTTAATTTGTATTTATTTGATTACTAGTGTATTGAACATACTTATTGTGTTTATTAGCCATTTGTATTTGTTCTGTATATTGTCTTTTTTAAATTTTTTTGATCATTTTTCTTTTGATGTCTTAGGGTTTTTTTCCCTAATTAATTTGTATGAGATCTTTATATAGTGAGCATATTAACATTCCATTAATTTTTAAGACTCTTTACTAAATATCCCTCAGTTACCTTCCTGATTTCCCTCATTACTTCTCTGTTTGCCCCTTTTCACCATATGGAAATAAATCTACTTACCTTCCCCTTTATCTGTTGCTCTCTTTCTCATTTCTAAACCTTTATTTCTCTTGGTTGGTCTACTAAACTAATGTGTATGACGTTGAGATATCTGACATTTTGCCCCCGAGTTATATGTCAGCTCTCACTCAATTAAAACATTTTCACTATTATTGTTTTAAAATAATTTCAGTGATTTATTACTTGCTTAATTAAATCTGCCCATGATTATTCTAAGTTTGTCTCTGTTGATGTAAACTTGTAAAAATTAGGAACTTTATATAATATAATTTCTACAGCAATTCACACAGTACAGTATATAGAAAGATGCTTAAATATTTTGGGAGGTGGAAGAATATTATGAAGTCTGGTTTTGAGCATGCATGTTAAAATGTTTATTTATTTCTTAAGGATTTTGGTAATATATTTTGATTTTTTTCTCTTTTTCTTTCATCTCCTGTGTCAATTATAAAAAGGAAGCAATAGAGGCCTTTAATGCTCCTAATAGTAGCAAATTCATCTTTATGCTGAGTACCAGGGCTGGAGGTCTCGGAATTAACTTGGCAAGTGCTGATGTGGTTATACTATATGATTCAGACTGGAATCCACAGGTTGATCTACAAGCTATGGTTAGTAATCTTTAATGTTGTCAGAAATTTATCTTAGCTCAGAATTCTATTGTTATTTGTACAGTACCAAGGCAATTTATCATAAAAGAATAACAATTTTGGGGAGGTTTTCTAGATGTTAAAATAGATTATCCTGGAAAACAAACAATTTTGCAGTTGATGTGCTGATTGCAAAAACAAACAGGGCACATGAAAATAAACACAACCCAAATCCAACTATAGCATTTGTGTGTTGATTTTGGCTTTTATCATGAAACAGAAGTCTCATTTTTCCCACTCCTAAATATTATAGAAGACAAATGCATGTTTTAATGAAAAAGGGTTAAAAAGTTAATCTCTCAATATTATTCTACTTAACAACAAAATATATTAAAATCCTTAGCAGTGAAATTAGGAGAGGTGGGATTTTAACTTTCATTATAAAACAGATGGGGTGATAAAATAAGATGGTAACAAAGGAATATATTCCAGGAAAACATTTGCTACCTAAGGACACCATAAGAAACTATTCTACCAGTATATAAAAAAAATTTTGGGGAGGTATTTCTCTTACCTTTCATCATGGTGTTATTTATTGAACTAGAGCTACAACTTTTGTCAGTGTCACACATCTTAAGTTAAATATAATTTCGGAAGTAAAAAGATTCAAAAGAGCTATGCATTCAAAATCCCAAGAAGTAATGGGACAACTGACTCTCTTTGGAAGCAATTAAATTCATATGCCAAAGAGGCATAGCTTAGAAGTCCTTTTTTTTTCTTTTATAATAGAGAATTGAAAAATATTGACCATCAGGACACTTTTAAATTAACATGCTTTGGCATAATTATTACTTTAGCATGGTACTGAACTACCTGTTTGATATGACTAAGTAGGTGTAAGCTCCTGTAAGTTACAGTATTACTGACCTGGAAAACCCATTGATGATAGCCTTTATTTCCATAAAAGTGTTAGAGTTTTGCTGATCTTTGATGATTTACTGATTTGAGTTTGAAATTTTAAATATGTGTAGGGATGTTGCATTCTCTTAGTATTCTGTGTTGAAACTGTTACTGGGCTCTAGTGTTTTTATATTTAGTGTAAGGGCTGTTTTGAACCTTGTTTCTTTGATTTTTTTTCTCAACCACCCTCCTCCCTTCACCTATTTGCTCTAGCAGCTTCTATGTTTTAAAAACACTACCCCCAAATGTTTTTATATTATCAGAACTTTCCACCTGTCACCTTTACCAACTATAAACCATAGGACCAATTCTAGACCAATAAATAGTAGGGATATTAGTATCCCATTAATTTTTATGACCCTTTACTACAGATTCCTGGATTGCCTCAGCAAGTAGAAAGAACTGTTTGATGATGAGACAAAGTTGACTTTTGCCACCATAGCAAACCTTTTTAACTACTTTGTCCCTCACTTACAAAATCCTTGCTAGTGTGGAAGATGTTTATACATAGTGGCTCAAAGTTATTTAGTAACTTAATCCAGAAGGTTTCAGCTTCCTCTAGTCCTTACCTTTTAAAAATTAATTAATTTTAAAATTTATACTTGACATACAATATTATATTAGTCTCAGGTGTACAACATAGTGACTCAACGTTTGTATACCTAATGAAGTGATCACCATGATAAGTCTAGTCACCATCTTGCCACCGTACAAAGTTGTAATGAAGCCTGTATTTCCTATGCTGCACATTATATCCCCATGATTTATTTTATGACTGAAAGTTTGTACCTCTTAATCCCCTTCATCTTTTTTGTCTATCTCCCTCTCTGGCAACCATCAAGTTTGTTCTCTGTATCTATGAGTCTGTTTCTGATTTGTTTGTTTGTTTTTTTGTTTTTTAGATACTACATATAAGTGAAATCATGTGAATGTCTTTGCCTACCCAACTCATTTCACTTATCAGAGTACCATGTAGGTCCATCTTTGTTGTCACAAATGGCAAGCTTTCATTTTAATGGCTGAGTAATATTCCATCAAATATATATATCACATCTTCTTTATCAGTTTATCTATTGATGGACACCTAGGTTGCTTCCATATCTTGGCTATTGTAATAATGCTGCAGTGAACATAGGGGTGCATATTTCTTTTTCAAATTAGTGTTTTCATTTTCTTTTTTCTTAATTAAAGTTTATTGGTGTGACAATTGTTAGTAAAACTACATAGGTTTCAGGTGTACAATTCTGTAATACATCATCTATATATCACATTGTGTGTTCACCACCCAGAGTCAGTTCTCCTTCCATCACCATAAATTTAATCCCCTTTACCCTCTTTTACTATGCCCCTGTCTTCCCCTACCCTCTGGTAACCACTAAACTATTGTCTGTGTCTGTGAGTTTTTGTTACCTCATTTGTCTTGTTCCTTTGTAATTTTCAGTTTTATATCCCACATATCAGTGAAATCATATGGTTCTCTACTTTTTCTGTCGGACTTATTTCGCTTAGCATAATCTCAAGATCCATCCATATTGTCGCAAACGGCACTATTTCATCTTTGTTTATGGCAGAATTGAGGCAACCAACCAAAGGGGAGAAGATTTTTGCAAACAATGCCTCCAATAAGGGGCTCATATCCAAAGTATATAAGGAACTCATACAACTCAACAACAACAAAACAAACAATCCAATTAAAAAATGGGCAATGGACCTGAATAGACATTTCTCCAAAGAGGACATACAAATGGCCAATAGACATCTGAAAAAATGCCCAACATCAAAAATTATCAGATAAATGCAAATCAAAACCACAATGATATATCACCTCACACCAGTTAGAATGACTATCATCAACAAGACACATAATAACAAGTGTTGGAGAGGCTGTGGAGAAAAAGGAACCCTCATACACTGTTGGTTGGAATGCAGATTGGTGCAGTTGCCGTGGAAGGCAGTGTGGAGGTTCCTCAAAAAATTAAGAATAGAATTACCATATGATCCAGCAATCCCTCTCCTGGTATCTATGCCAAAAATCTGAAAACGTTTATCTGTAAAGATATATGTGCTCCTATGTTCTTTGCAGCTTTATTTACAGTGGCCAAGACATGGAAACAACCAAAGTGTCCTTCGAGAGATGATTGGATAAAGAAGATGTGATATATATATATATATATATATATATATATATATATATATATACACACACACACAATGGCATACTATTTTGCCATAAGAAAAGGTGTTTTCATTTTCTTGGGATAAATACCCAGAAGTGGAATTGCTGGTTCATTATCATAGGGCTTTGCCTGGTTTCCTCCTGGAAGTTATCTATTAATAGTACAGTACAATATCTGCATATTTCTTTGTTCCCAGGGGTCTGTAAATATTCTTAATAGTCATTACCCTCCTTTCAAAAGTGGCATGTGTAGAGAGATCAGGAACTAATTTTATTTTTAGAATTTTATAACATATGGTGGCTATATTACACATTTTATCCAGAATACCCAATATATTAGGATTTTTTTCTCCTAGGATCGAGCACATCGTATTGGTCAGAAGAAGCCAGTACATGTGTTCCGCCTCATCACCGACAACACTGTTGAAGAAAGGATTGTAGAAAGAGCTGAGATAAAACTGAGACTTGACTCAATTGTTATACAACAAGGTATTTAATACTTATCAACTTAATTAGGTGTTTTGTTTTATTTTGTTTTTGCAAAAATACATCGTTTTCTCCAAAGATGATTACTTTTAATGAAAGTTGATCAAAATTTGCAAACTTAATGACAGAAAAAAGTTAGTTTTTTTTTTAAAGATTTTTATTGGGGAATTAGGGGATGGGAACAGTGCTGGGGAATTGGGGGAAGGGGAACAGACAAGTTGCTGTCGTTTTGTTCTTCAGTCTAGTTGTGGAGGACGTTGCTTCA